TTACAGTACCGACCTACCGTCCCCACAGTCCTGCGGCAGCATCTGCGACGGCTGCGCGCAGGCGGCGCTGGCCACTCCAGCCGCCACCAGCGATGCAATGCGTGGATTCCCTCTACATACTGCAATGAGGCAAGCTCGACCAAGCTTGTCGATGGAGCAGAGAGGTAACTTGGCGACATGTCTACGCATGTGGTAGATGGTAAAGAGACAATCGAAATAGAGCACAATACTGATGAATGCTTCCAGCGAACATGGCGACAAACCATGCATAGATAGACGTTGAGACGAGGAAGCAGAGCAACAACAAGCAGGCAAGTGAGGAAGATAGGTAAAGAGGCATTCGAAGCGACTGCAATTGATCAAGCTGGCCAGAGAGTCAGCCTGTCGGAGGCCACAGGCGAGACAAAAACGAGTGGGACACCTGAACCGTTTCGTAGTGCACCAGCAGCTGCAGTGGTGGGAGGAGTCGCGGGAGGAAAAGGGCGAGCGAACGAGCAGGAACCAAGCGGCAGCAGGTCTCGACCCACCCGACGGGCGGCAGCGCTCACAAAGCCCCCCCTGCCCGCAAGGCCCACACCCTGAGCGCGGGGCCCGCGGCCGTCTGCACCCGAGGGCCCGGGCCTCGGGGCGGCCGCCTCGGCCGCGGGCGGCAGGTGCACGGTCTGGGGCCCGGGCGCACACTGCTGTGCAGACTGCGCACAGTCGTCCCGCAGCACAGGGATGCGCGAGAAGGGTGCAGGGCCCGTGGAAGACCATGCTGGCGCTCTGCGAGCGGGGCGCGGCCAACGAGAGCGGCCAGCGACGGACCGAGGAGGCGCGGGTGCAGGGTGCCCTCGGGAAGGTTGCCCCTCCCTGTCACGCGGGTCATCCGTGCGTGAGTGAAGAAGTCCCTCAGGCGTCCAAGCCTGCCGGCGAGAACTCCTTGCTGGCCGGCGCGCTCTCCACCGCTTGCGCCAAACGGCAGCTGGAACCGCTGCAGCGAGAACTGGCTCACATGGGGTCCTGCAGCAGGCCCGTGCCCACCGTCGCCAAGGAGGCCCAGACGGGGAAGGGGTCGTCCAGCACTCAGCGCGACGCCGAAGTGCTGCGCCTCGACTTCGGCAAAAACACAAATGCCTGGAATCGACGACGCCGATCTGCCGCCAGCAAGTCGCCGCAAACATATGGAAATGTTGGAGACAAAGGGGACGCATCCGGGAGCAACATCGAAACCCACCTAGGCATGGAAATAGTGGATAGGATCACGCCGCAACGCGCCGCGTGCCCCCCCCCCCCTCCCCCCCTTGGAAATAGCGGACAACATCCGGCACCAGCTCGGGGCGCCAACCCACCCGGACAAAGGACTAGAGGAATACACATGGCAGCAGCGCGCCGCGCAGAACCCGCCAGCCCTTGGAAACAGTGCGAGGCCATATCCGCATGACATTCGCCAGCCTCGCCCACAGGAACATGCAACAATTCGAACCCCTCGGGCCCAACGAAGCACCGCGACGCCGCGCCCCACAGCAACGCCCACAGGCCAGCATGCGGCCCAGCGCGGCGCGCGGGCAGGCGGGAAACGCCACGTTCAACCAACGAGGCCGCTTGGCGGGCGCGGTGCCGGAGCGGCGACTCGGAACCTCCTCGCCTCGCGGGTGGCAGGACTTGCAGCGCATTCCAGGGCTAGGCGCTACCGCCAACGTGAAGACAGCATCATCGCTGCCACTGTCTGCTTCCCGCCGGGCCCCCGAGTCCAAGGCTTCCGGGCTCTGCAGGCCGTGATCCTTGAGGCTCGCCATCGCTCGGACGTCCATTCCCTGTGTTTTTTTCGGTTTCGTGCGTGGTTTTTTCGCCAACTGATCAAGGATGCTCCTCGATTCTCCTCGCCGAAAGAAAAATGCACACGTCCGAGCGATGCCAAGGAGGGCGACCGCCGTGCCGACGTGCCCCTGAGGCCCGCCCCCGGTTCTCCTGCGAGGTCGCGGGCGCCTGGCCAGATCCTGCGAGGGAGTCGCGAGCCAGCGCGTGGGACCCGCGCGCGGCTGCCCGAGCTCTTGCAGAGGGACGGCGACGATGTAGCCGGCGCCTCCGGGTCCTCGCAGGCCGCGCGCGCCCCCAAGTCTCGGAGCGGCGGCCCTTCTCTGCCACGCGCCCGCTGCCGCCCTGTCGCCCGCGGCAGACATGATTACTCGCCATCGCTCGGACGTCCATTCCTTGTGTTTTTGTTCGTTTTCGTGCGTGGCTTCTGCGCCAAATGATCAAGGATGCTCCTCGATTGTCCTCGCCGAAGGAAACATGCACGCGTCCGAGCGATGCCAAGATTAAGACCTCTGTGTGTCATGCTGCCCGTGCCACTAAACTGGCAGCAGCTGGTGCAGCGACGAGCGGGCGAGGGCCCTCCCCACCGTCCACGAGGGACTCCAGCAGCGCGCGCGCGCGCCTCTGGACCAACCACGGCCAGAGCAGCTCCTGCGCGCGAGCGGCAGCATCATTCGGGCGTGATACCGGGCTTTCCTCGAGCTGCCCAGGGAAAGCGCAAGCGAGGCGAGATTCGTCCCGATCGTGGAGCCACATCCGAAGGCGGGCAATGTCGGCGCGGAGCTATCCATGGGACCTCGTCGCTCCACGGACGAACCTCTGCGCCCATCAGCGGGCGCGCACAAAGTCGCGTCTGTCATGGCCCACTCGCCCACCGCTGCTGTACATGGTCGGCTTACTCACTGGCCCTTCCCCGACGTCGGCCACGTTGGCAGCCGCCAAAGGTGATCATGCACAGCCGTCTGCTTCCGCGCGCGCAAAACAGTGTCCTGGCCCACGCGCCGCCTTCATCCTTGGGCGCCCGAGTTATCCGGGGTAACTCGGGTCCGGGGTAAGTCGGGTTCGGGATCCCGAGAAACGAACCCGAGTTAGCCCTGACCCGAGTTACCCCTGATGATTTGGGGCTCTGGGCGCCCGAGTTATCCGGGGTAACTCGGGTCCAGGGTAACTCGGGTTCGGATTCCCGAAAAAGGAACCCGAGTTATCCCTGACCCGAGTTACCCCTGATGATTCGGGGCTCTGACATCCTGTGACAGATGCCGGCTGAGCCCTTGCAGTCGGACTCCGCCTGGAACAAGCCTACGACGAGCTCTCTGGCCATCGTGGGGGCGCAGGCCTCCCCCGTC